TTCAATCCTAGAGCTGTCAATGTCAAGTTCTGATTGGAAGGTCAGAGGAGAAAAAAAGCAAATGTGTTTAAAGATGGTTTACTTCCAGGGCTGAATATGTTATTCAATGCTTGTTGAATTAATTATGATTGAAAAACATACAGGAACATTCTAGAGAAAGAAGGGGAAAAATCAGCAAGTCAAGGAAATACATAAAATAATCCTCCTATGTAACCCTCAGAAACTTCAACCTAGTGCTAAAAATAGTTATGCCAAAGCTCTTTGGGAAACAAAACAAAAAACAAAACCCACTTTCTCCTTTAGGTTTCTCTATGGATACTCATGCCTGTATCGTCAGATCTTCCACTTGGGTCTACCGTCCAAAGGTAATTTCAAGATTATCTTTGCTTCCAAGCATGAAACACTTAATACTTTCTAGGAATACTTGGTGATCTCTGGAGAAGGAAAGCATCATGGAGACGGTGAGATTTGGGGATGTGATTTTGAAATGTGAAAACCTTCCAGAGAATAGGATTAGAGGATTCAATGAGCAAATAATAAATGACAAAGATTGAATGAGAAAGGCAGTGTTAAAGGGGAGAGGTAGAAGTTAACTCTATCAGCATTGCCTGCTATAGACAGCAGCAAAGCTAATAGGATTGGGGGTCATTTGTGAAACGTTTTCAACTTAGCAGGTCCCTTTAGTTTTTACCCCAGATTTACAAGTCAATATTTTCCAAAGGAAAGTGAGAAAGTCAGAGTTGAATGAACATATGCCCAGGGCATAAAGAAAGTTCTTTAATCACCAGCTGTAAGGCTGGAAATTATGTTCTCTATGTGTTAATATCTTAAGGATATCCAATTCCAATATGTCTCACTCTCAGTGTGCACTCCATCAAGAAAAAGTACAGAACTACTAGACAAGAGAATCTAAGATTGGAGGGTAGGAAGTATGGTACAATTTTTTAATCTCTAGTGAACCCTGAAAGAGTTTCTCCCTTACAAGTTAAACAGAGGAAAACAGTAAAAGACACAATACAAAAGTGGACTAAAGAAGGATTTGTACCCCCTAAGCAGGGGGAAGCAGGGGTCAGAGTCGTAAGAAGTGAAGGGGAGATCCCAGAGTGCTAGAAAATGTCCCTGAGGATTCTATGTTTGGACAGTGGGGACAGAAAAAAAAAATCTAACCTTAAGACATATAATATAAAATGCAAAATAATATATACACTTTGAGATCACTGTGGTGATGTGAGACACAGGTTTATTCCTATTTTCACTGTCCTTGAACCCAAATGAATCATTTAGACCTTTATTTCCTCCACATTTGAACCCTATCAATCAAACTATGGGAAAGACATGAAGAAACACTGAATTATAACTTGCCCATGTGAAAAATAAACTATTAAAATAATCAACTTACCCTATCTACTTCAGGGTATTGTGAGTCACAAATAAAACAGTATGTTTGAAATTATTTTTGAACTTACCAAAATCATTACTAATGTATTCTAATATTAGCAAGAGAAAATAGTTGGGAGAATATCTAAATCTTTTCTACATATCAAGTGAAGGGCCATGCCTAGCAGACTACATAGGGGAATCAGAGGATCGGTAGGAGTGAAGAGAGAAGCCCTGGAGGGAATGCCTGTCCTCCTTCCACTGACAGAAGCAGCAGTTACTAACAGGGTCTTTCTAATGTGGGGAGTCTGACAAGAGCCAGTTAACAAGGACTGGAACTGCATTTGGGGAAAGACAACTGAAAACAAAAATACTACTTGAAGCTCTTGAAAAAAACATGTTTCCATCAGTAGGAAAATATCATACGGTGCAGAGTTCATAGTATTATTATAACTTGCCTCCTTGTTACCCTGTACCAACCCCAAAATTTTCTCCTCTGACATAGTCCATTCTTAAAACTATCAATTGTATTTTGGATGAAGTTCGTTTCCTTTTTTATAGAATCAATGAGGCAAATACATATCAGAGAATTATCTATTGGGTCTGAAGGGACCCGAGAAATTGATCCAACCCAGCTTTCTATATTATGCAGGAATAGGATTAGAATAATAACATATGTGTGGTTAAGAACCTGGGTTTTGAGATGTCATTTCTCTCATTTGTAAGTGGTGATAATAAAACATTTCACGGGATCCTTAATTACTAAATGGGACAAAGTGCTAAAACATTTGAGCACCATTCCCTGCAAATAATAAGGATTGCAAAAATAACTATACAGGTTCATTATATTAGTGAGCTTAATAAGGGGGAAACAGGGCAGTTCTTAAACATTTGATGAAAAGGAATTTCTAAAGCCAAAAAATAACAACTGAACAGAAACCTCTGTCCCAGCAGACAGAATTTCACACAGTAAAACTGAGTGATCTGAAGGGTCCCCAAAAGACCGGACCTACCTAACTCACATCTTTGCCAAGCTGCAGTGTTCCATGGGCTCTCTTTCACAATATAGTTGAGGGAAATCATAGAGTTCTCTAATTCTAATGTAAATGTGTGAACCACATCACTCTATTTACAATAGTTTTTCTCCAGCCTATCTCCTATGCCACAGTCAGTCAGCTCTCCCCTTCGCTCTCCTTATAAGTTGTTCATATCCCTAACATTGCTCATGTCACTTACTGTTATTACACCCACTATCTCCAGAGTGCTTATAGTTCTATTTTTTAAGAGTAATGTCAGTTTCTTTATGTTAATTTAACTTAATTTTAAGTTCCAGGATAGATATGCAGGAAAGTTTCTTATTTAATTTTATGATCCTGATACCTAACAGAATGCCAGGGTTAAATGATAAGGGAATGATGATAACTTTGAACTACTTTGCAGAGAGTGGGAAATGTCTAACTGTATTATTACAGGCAAGATGGAAAGGGAACTGGAAACGAGATGGAAGAATATCAAAAGTGGACTTCATCACCCCCACACCTTACAATCAGAAAAACTAACTTTTCATCATGTTTAATGACAAGTATTGCTCCCTGATAGCTATGTAGAATTCCTCACTCTCCTGTATTATGAATATAGTATATGTTACAAGAGAAATATTTTTTCCAGTTATCTTATTTCCTATTACTATCTACCATTTAAAGCAAAATATCTAGAGCAGTACTAATTAACAGAGTATCCACTAGCTTCTGGCGGCTGTTTAACACGTGGACTTCATGTAGTCCAAATTGAAACATGCTTTAAGTGCAAATTACACACTGTAATTTAAAGATTTACTACAAAAAAATCTACAATATCTTATTAATGATTTCCTCATGTGTTAAAATGATACTTAAGATATATTGAATTGAATACAATATATTATTAGAATTAATGTTACCTGTTCCTACTCTTTCAATGTGCCTACTAAAAAGTTTAAAATTAGATATGTGGCTCACATTGGTCAGCACTGTTCTAGAATAAATCCTCAATACCAGCTATTTTAGTGGAATAAAACCATAGGTTATCTGTTCCCCTTGTGTTTCAAGTACATTTATGACAATATTGCTTTGAAACTAGCCATAAATGTCTGAAAGTTACATATAAATGAAACAAAACAGTTTTCAAGCATTTTTTTTTAAATATGAAGATCTAACCAGGCTACTTTGAAAGACAAGATTTTTTGAAAATACTCTCACTTGAAGTTTCAAGTGGTATCTTCATAAGGTTCTCCCATTGGTATACAGTTATGCACTTCAATTTTTTATACAAAGTCTGACTCTGTCATCCAGATTGGAGGGCAGTGGCATGATCTGGGCTCACTGTAACCTCCTCTTCCCAGATGGCAATTCCTCAGGGGTCTAGAAATAGAAATACCATTTGACCCAGCAATCCCATTACTGGGTATATACCCAAAGGATTATAAATCATTTTACTATAAAGACACAAGCACATTTATGTTTATTGAAGCACTATTCACAATAGCAAAGACTTGGAACCAACCAAAATGCCCATCAATGATAGACTGGACAAAGAAAATGTGGCACATATATGCCATGGAATACTATGCAGCCATAAAAAAGGATGAGTTCATGTCCTTTGCAGGGACATGGATGAAGCTGGAAAACATCATTCTCAGCAAACTAACACAGGACCAGAAATCCAAACACCAACTGTTCCACTCATAAGTGGGAGTTGTACAATAAGAACATGTGGACACAGGGAGAGGAACATCACACACTGGGGCCTGTTTGAAGGTTGGGGGTTAGGGGAGGGATAGCGTTAGGAGGAATACCTAATGTAGATGACAGGGTGATGTATGCGGCAAACCACCATAGGATGTGTATACCTATGAAACAAATCTGCATGTTCTGCACAGGTATCCCAGAACTTAAAGTATAATAATAATATTAATAATTTTTTAAAGTGTCCTAAGAAGTTTTCTTATTTGTTTCTCTAAAAAGATAACAATTCTCTCAAAAATAAACATTGAACATACCAAATATGTATAGACAAATCATATTTCCTCAGGCCGCTGTACTGTTTAAAGTGATAGGAATACCCCAATAACATTGCACCAAGGATAAACCTATGGATTTTCTTTGCTGTAGATAACCTGCTAGAAACCACAAGTTCTACCTATGACAAATTGTACTATATTCCTGTATCAAGAATCCACCTCTGGCCAGGCACAGTCGCTCACACTTGTAATCCCAGTACCTTGTAAGGCTGAGGCAGATGGATCACCTGAGATCAGGAGCTCAAGACAAGGCTGGTCAACATGGTGAAACCCCATATCTACTAAAAATACAAATATTTGCTGGGCATGGTGTGGGGGTGGGGGAGGGGCTGTAATTCCAGTCACTCGGTAGGCTGAGGCAGGAGAATTGCTTGAACCTGAGAGGCGGAGGTTGCAGTGAGCCATGATTGTCACCATTGCACTCAGCTTAGGCAATAAGAGCCCAACTCCTTCTCAAAAAAAAAAAAAAAAAAGAATCCACAGAATTCACAGTTAATTAATTAGTTAATTTTTAATCCTGATTTTACAGATCACTAAAAGAAAGCAGGAAAATATATGGCAAAATATGACAGCACACCAAAATGGCACCCTCTCCACTGAAGCTTCAGACTTCCTCTTGAATTGTTTTGTCACATCCCCCAGCTGGCAGCAATGGCTGTCCTTGCCCCTCAGCCTCCTCTTCCTCTTGGCCATGGGGGCCAATGTCACCCTCCTGATCACCATCTGGCTGGAGGTCTCTCTGCACCAGCCCCTGTACTATCTGCTCAGCCTTCTGTCCCTGCTGGACATCGTGCTCTGCCTCACCGTCATCCCCAAGGTCCTGGCCATCTTCTGGTTTGACCTCAGGCACATCAGTTTCCCTGCCTGCTTCCTCAAGATGTACATCATGAATTGTTTCCTGGCCATGGAGTCCTGCACATTCATGCTCATGGCTTATGATCGTTATGTAGCCATCTGCCACCCACTGAGATATCCATCAATCATCACTGATCAATTTGTAGTCAAGGCTGCCATGTTTATTTTGACCAGAAATGTGCTTATGACTCTGCCCATTCCCATCCTCTCAGCACAACTCTGTTATTGTGGGAGAAATGTCATTGAGAACTGCATCTGTGCCAATATGTCTGTTTCCAGACTCTCCTGTGATGATGTCACCATCAATCGCCTCTACCAATTTGCTGTAGGCTGGACTCTGCTAGGGTGTGACCTCATCCTCATCTTCCTCTCCTACATCCTCATTCTGAGAGCTGTGCTGAGACTCAAGGCAGAGGGTGCTGTGGCAAAGGCCCTAAGCACATGTGGCTCCCACTTTATTCTCATCCTATTCTTCAGCACCATCCTTCTGGTTTTTGTCCTCACACACGTGGCTAAGAAGAAAGTCTCCCCTGATGTGCCAGTCTTGCTCAATGTTCTCCACCATGTCATCCCTGCAGCCCTTAACCCCATTGTTTATGGAGTGAGAACCCAAGAGATCAAGCAAGGAATCCAGAGGCTGTTGAAGAAAGGGTGCTAACAAGGACAACTGGATCTCTGAATTTATAAAATCAGGTGACTTCTGAATTACTAATCAGTAAACAGGCTAAAACTCATATCTACAAGTTATAATCTCAAACTGGGTAAACTAATATTGTGTATTCTTTCTTAAAATATCAATTTCATTTTGTGTCTCTTTTTTTCATTCTTTTCCAAAAAAATGTCCTTGGCACTTTCTCTTTTTGCCCTTCCTTATAATCCTTTTTTTTCCCAGAACAGTAGCATTTCTTAAAAGCAGATTCTAAAATGAGAAATTTACATTCATGAATACATAACTATTAATATACCATGAATTTTATATATCCTTAAAATATAACTGTGGGTATTTTGTGGTTTCTATTGGGTGCAGTGTGTTCTTTTTCTTAGTTTCACAAAAGGTAATATATTGGAGAAAAATACACAATGGATGAAATTTCAGTCCAGGAAGATGCCAGGTTTTGAATTAGGTTTTTTTTTTCTCCTATCCAACAACCGCATAATTACCTTCCTCGGACTCTCTGTCTTTCTGTCTCTCTCTCTCTCTTTTCCTCTGTCAGCCAAAATACAATTTTGTAATGTGCACTTCGGTAGAGCAGGGTGTTTGCTGCTCATATGTGTATCAATTATCAATTAGTTTTGGATATAGGAGATTCCTGAAACCTTCTTCCCAGTGTGTCTGTGCTTAGGGCACTTATCTTTTAAATCCAGTATATCACACTTTACAGTATACAAATAAAACTCAACTAATGAGTCAAAGCATTGTTAGAATTGTAGCATATAATTCAGTCATAAAGCTTAATTTTGAAATGGCATAGCTAGACATTATTTTCTCATTAATTGGACAGTTTCCATGCACACACTATGCCCTCGGAATTATATTAGCTTTTAAGAAATATAAACTTATAGAACATTGTTGTTGATTTGAAGAGCCCAAAATTTGCTTATGAAGAATACACATATGAGCTCCAGAGACACAGTCTTCTCCAGTAGAGAGAAATGAAGAATGAAACAGAAGACATGTATGAAGATATGGTAAGGTTTTGTGTCCCCACCCAAATTTCATCTTGAATTGTAATCTCCATAAACCCCATAATCCCCACACGTCAATAAAGACACCAAACGGAGATGATTGAATCATGGGGCAGTTCTCCCATGCTGTTTTCATACTAGTGAGTGAGTTTTCATGAGGTATTATGGTTTTATAAAGGCCTCATCCCAATTTGCTCAGCACCTCTTCATGCTGCTCTGTGAAGAAGATGCCCAGCTTCCTCCTCGGCTTGTACCATGATAATAAGTTTCTTGAGGCCTACCCAGCCATGCTGAATTGTGTGTCAATTAAACCTCTTCCCTTTATAAATTGCCCAGTCTGGGATAGTTCTTTATAGCAGTGTGAAAATGAACTAATACATGTGGGCAGCAAGATACTTGGCCTTGTAAGAAAGCACTGGATAGAAAGAAGGTCTGTGTAGTAGGCCTCACACAACTGCACACATGCACAAAAGTTGGGTTCCTGCCTGGGAAAAAATCAAATGGAATAAATCATGGTTTCACATTACTCATCTAATACCTGAGAATAATGATCAATTTGTTTTAGAATAGTCTTCTAAATACAAGATTTTGTGTTTCCATAACAACTTACAAGCGTGTGCTACTTTGTTTTGACCATACAAAAAAAATCCTTCAGAAGTGTCTTACCAACACTGTCCCCAATATCTTGGCCTTCCAGTCTTAACTAAAAGCACCTGGGATTAAAACCTGGCCTACTTAAGACTACATTCTGCAAACCTCTACCCATTTGTTTTTTCTTCATCCTACAGTGAAAAACAATAAATTAGCATCAAATTCCTCTGCTTCTGGATATTCTATAATCTACTAGTTGAAGAATAAATATGTATTTACTACAAGAACAGTAATTTAAAGCATATGTTCAACAAACTAATTAGAAATTGCTCAAAAGTAAAAAGCCACCTGTTGAATTCCAACTAGGTATACCAATTCCTTCATTATTCAAAGAAGAACTCCCTAAAATTTCATGCTCTCAAACATTTCACCATAAGAAAAACATCTTGGCTTAATATGTGCATAACTGGGGCCAGGTGCAGTGACCCATGCCTGTAATCCTAGCACTTTGGGAAACCAAGGCAGGCAGATAATTAGGTCAGGAGTTCAAGACCAGCCTGACCAACAGAGTGAAACCCCGTCTCTACTAAAAATACAAAAATTGGCTGTAGTCTCAGCTACTTGGGAGGCTGAGGCTGGAAAATCGCTTGAATCTGGGAGACAGCGGTTGCAGGAAGCCAAGATCATGCCACTACACTTCAGCCTGGGCAAGAGAGCCAGGCTGTCTCAAAAAAAAAAAAAAAAAAAAAAAAAAAAAGTGCATAGCTGGGCCAAGCACTGTGGCTCATGACTGTAATCTTAGCACTTTGGGAGGCCGAGATGGGTGGATCAGTTGAGGTCAGGAGTTCAAGACCAGCCTGGCCAACATGGCAAAATCCCATCTCTACTAAAAATACAAAAATTAGCCAGGCATAATGGCAGGAGCCTGCAGTCCCATCTACTAGGGAGGCTGACACAGGTGAATCACTTGAACCTAGGAGATAGATGTTACGGTGAGCCAAGATCATGCCACTGCACTCCAACCTGGATGACAGAGTTACACTTTGCATTAAAAAAGTATATAACTGTATACCAATGGGAGAATCTTCATAAAATAACACTTGAAACAGAGTATTTTTTAAAAATCTTGTCTTCCAAAATAGCATGGTTACATCTTCATATTTTTTAAAATGTACATTTTAAAACTGTTTTATTGCATTTACATGTAATTTTCAGACATTTATGGCCTGAAAGTTACAGGCCATAAATGTCTGAAAGTTACCTAAAGGCCATAAATGTCTGAAAGTCGGAATATATATTCTTGGTTTTCTTATGAAATTTCTTTCCTGCAGCTGAGGTGCTTCTGTGTGGCTGGATCCTCCATAAATCAGGCAGGATTCTTTAACCTAGCTTGTCTACAGTGAGATTTGGGGCCATACTTTCTTTTCCTTTTCTTTCATTTTTCTTCTCTTGTTCTTTTCTTTCTTTATTTTTGTTTATTTTTTAGAGTCAGGGTCTTGTTCTGTTGCCCAGGCTGGAGTGCAATTGTGCCATCATAGCTCACTGTAGTCTTGAACTCCTGGGCTCAATGGTTCTCCTATCTTAGCCTCCCTTGCTCAACTGTGTTTTCCAAGGGCAAAATGCTATAATGTTACATAAGGTGTGAACAGAGGAAAAGATGATAAAGTGCAAATGGTAAGACCTAATAGAAGGAAGTAGTATACAATCTGACAACCAGAAACTTATATTTGCTATAAAGGGGTGCAACCAAGGACGATAGGGGTGGCTATAATGAAAAAACAATATTGAAACAACAGAGTACTATCAATGCCTACCCAAACTCTTGAATATTAATGCAGTAATAGGAAAATCAGAAAGAGAAGTAAGGCCAACTAATACATAATATCAGATACTTAGTGAAGTTTCCTTGGTCAGCACATCAGAGATAGAAGCTATTTTCTAGAGGGTTTTACTTTAAGACATCCATCATCTCCAGCACTCCCCTGTATTAGAAATTATTTGCTAAAACCAAATCTCAGAACTGTCATGCAAAAGAGAGTGAGAGTATGTAGATGGGGGATGGAAGTAGAGGTAGGAAGCAAGAAAGTTTGTCAGGGGAGATAGAGATAGAGACAGAGACAAAGATGAAATAGAGATAGATAGAGACTGTAGAGAAAGAGATAATAGAGATAGATGGAGATATAGATTAAAGATAGAGGTAGGGATAGAGATAGATAGAGATAAGGAGAGATGGACATAGAGATAGAGATAGAGATGATAGAGGTAGAGATAATACAGATAGATCTTTCCAATCACCTTTTGGAATCCAAAGGGGCACATAAAGGAAAATGACAATGCAAACAAAGAAATAAAAAGTAACGTGAGCCAGGGAAACAAGAATCAAAAGTGGAAATTGAAGGGAAAGGAGAGATTTCAGATTGTTGTATTATTACCCAAACAACTTGTGATAAAAATAAGATAATGATACATAAAGCAAAATACCACATAAAATACAGTAGTTTCCCTATATCCGTGATTTTGCTTTCCACTGTTTCAGTTACCCACAGTCAACCTCAGTTCAAAAATAGATGAGCACAGTGCAACAGAATATTTTGAGAGAGAGATAAATCACATTTATATAACTTTTATTATGATACATAGTTACAATTGTTCTACTTTATTATAAGTCACTTCTGTCAAATTCTTACTACATCTAGTTTCCAAATTAAACTTTTCATAGTACATATGAATGCAAAATATATACTATAATGAATTTAGTACCATCCATTGTTACAGGTATCCACTATGTGTCCTGGAATTATCCCCAATATATACGGGCAGACTACCCCACTGTACTAAATTCCACACCACTGTAGTTACATAAGATATCTTGGAGGCCTTCCACAATGTTCCATATGTACTGATATGAAAGCAGACATGGTTTATATCTTAGCTCTTCAGCTCACACAGTCTCTAACCATGACCTCCTGGAAAACTTGCTTGAAATAATTGAACCCTGATTTTGTAATATGTTAAAATTCATCACCATTACAACAACCCTCCCTTGTATATACCTCTCTTCTTGGTACAAATGAGACAACTTTTAAAACACTTTGTAATTTACCAAAGGCATTATTAACATATGCTAGTTTTAACAACAAAAAAAGAACTGAGAGATAATGTAAATTTCTACGGTGGATCTTGAAATTACTTTTGCATGCAAGGACAGAGACAGTTCCTGGCAAATACTAATGAAATCAGAAATCCTTGATTTTAAAGCAGAAAGTAAAAACAAATAAAGAAAAGAGTTAGGGAAGGGAGAAGGTAATGCCCACTCTCTTTCGCTGACTTGGCAATTACCAGGGCTATTTAATAGAAGATTGTGGTCTGGAAAAAAACAAAC